ACACACACACACACACACACACACACACACACACACACACACACACATTGATTACTGTCTTTAAATAGCTTTAAGCATTAAATCACACCATAAAGTTCTGATAATAACTACCTCTCTCTCTCTCTCTCTCTCTCTCTAGAATGCAGAGTCAAGGTACCTCGCCCTACCGCCCATCCCAATCCCAAAACTACAACTCCCAAAACCCCTAGCAGCCCCAGCCTGTCCTCTAAGACTCCTCCCAAAGGCCTCTCCAGAACGAGGTCACCTGGTCCAGGTGTGAACCAACAGGAAGTCACTGCTCTACATGAGCCGGAAATGTTTCTACAGGTGTGATGAGCGGATTGTTTTTGACCAATCAGATGGCTTGTTTCTCTTGTCTGTGTGTGTGTGTGTGTGTGTATGTAGCCAATGAGGCCTCAGGATCGCAGTCAGCTGTGAAGCCGTCCAGGTCAAGCCCCTCCCCCACCAGCCCCGGGACACGACGCAGCCTCAAGGTCGGATCCATCCATCGATCGATTGATTGTTTTTAGCAGTAACGGCTCGGTTCTTCAAATATCATGATAAACATTTCAAATGTTTTAAATATGTTTTATTAATATGTTTAACTTTAAGCCAAATCTCATGTAATACGTTATAAATATATAACTATAAATTCTAATTTTAATATTTATTACAGTTGTTTTTTTAACGGATCTTAATCTTTGGATTTATAAGAAATGCTGATGCAAACAAAAAACAAATATTAGTTGTGTAATTCCAAATTATAAATTATAACTTGTGTCTTCATCAGCTGACTTACTTAATGTATTTATTTAAATCTTGAATCAGACTCGTTCTTTTCTCTCTTTCTGATTCCCTTCAAAATAAGACTAAATCTTCTCTCGTTTTATTCTGAAGGTCTCTCCTCGTCGTGCTTCCTCCACAGATGTGAACGGAGAGGCTGAGCAGCCCGACGACACCATCGTTGAAGGTGTGTGTGTGTCTGTGTTGATCTCAAGAAAAGACTGAAGAGCCCTTAAAACAAACTAAAGATGTCTGCTCCTCCTCCTCTTCTTCTCCTCCTCACAGTGAACGGGAATCGCTCCGTTTCCTCCTCCACCATCAGCGACAAGTACAAAGTCGGTAAAGTGATCGGAGACGGAAACTTTGCGGTGGTGAAAGAGTGCGTGGAGAGGTGAGGAGCGTCAGTGAGACACTTCATTAATGTGTGTATATCAGTGTGTTAACCGTACAGACAACGACGGAAAACATAGCAAAAATAAATACATGAAACTAAAACAATAACAAGCAGCATACAAATCTGTAAATCAATAAATAATAATACAAGATAAATGTATACGTTGTCTTGAACAGACATTTTTATTTTAAAGCTACTATGAGGAACTTTCATGTTGTGGTGATTCTGGCGCCCCCTGTGGACAGAAGCGATATTGTTTCTGATCACCAGAGTCCCTTTAAAAAAGCTAATTTTACTGCGATTATTAAAAGTTTTGATTTAAAAAATACATATAAAAAAAATGAATTATTAAATAATAAGTCAGATCTGTATTGTTTCCAAACTTCAAGTCATTTTTTGGGTTATTTTTAAAACTCAAACGATCCGTCAATTGACAGAAAATAATTGACACAATTGTTCGTCATCAATCAATAAAAAAATCAAAACATTTGCTGATTCCAGCTTCTCAAACGTGAGGATTTTCTGCTTCTCTCGGTTTTATATCATCGAGTTTTTTTGGACTGTCGGTCGGACAAAAGAAGACATTTGAAGACGTCTCAGTCATTTAATAAATCTCTTCTTATCATTTTCTGAAATATGAACTTAATGCTTGTTAAAAAGTAATTAGAAGCAGCAGCCAGAGTTACTGAAGGTGTGTCTGGTTGATGGACGGCTGTGGGAGTGTCTGTTGTGTTTTGATTGACAGGTCGACGGGACAGGAGTACGCTCTGAAGATCATCGATAAAGCTCGCTGCTGTGGGAAGGTAACAGATCATTATCATTCTCCTGCATTATTATGATAATTATAAATGAAAGATGAATCAGATCCAACTTATACCGAGAGTTAAACCGAACCGTTAAACCACACTGAACCTTCAGCCAATCAGGAAGGAGCAGCTTCCATCACGTCCAATACAAATGTGGTGTTTTACATCATGTGGCAGCAACACACACGTTTAAAATGTTGCTTTTCTTACAAATTGAATTAATACAAATTTAAAAAATAAATAACGATTGTAAAAAATTGTAATAAAATGTAGTATTGTAAGTGAGTGGTGAGGCCAGCTCTATTTAGATTTATAGCCCGTCATGCAGCTTCTCGTGTCGGCCGTCAGTTTGTAGCTTCATGGGACCGGTGTGTGTGTGTGTGTGTGTGTGTGTGTGTGTGTGTGTGTGTGTGTG